TGCTCTGCCCCAGGCGTCCCCAAGTCAGCTTCTGCTGAAACTGACCAGCGCTGACTACAGGAAGCCCCAGGCAGAGTTGCTCTGCCCCGGGCTTCCTGGAATCAGCTGCTGATCAGTTTCAGCAGCAGCTGACTTGGGGACGCCTGGGGTTCTTAAGTTGATTCTGTATGTAAGTCAGAACTGGCGGTCAGTTTCAGCAGTGTCTGAATCTGGACACCAGTTCCGACTTACATACAGATTCAACTTAAGAACAAACCTACAGTCCCTATCTTGTACGTAACCCGGGGACTGCCTGTATTTAACTTTAAACACATCAGTAATCCCACTGAACCAATGGGACTATTCACATGCTTGAAGTTAAGCATGTGCCTAAGAGCTTTGCTAGACTGGAAATTCAATTGATAATTTGCACATTTTCCTTTGTACATGTTTTTCACCCAGATTGTCCTATTTCCCTATTGTCCACCAGCTCTACCTACACCACCATGCAGAGCACCCAGTTCCAGACCCTCACACAACCTGAAGCAGTATTGCTCAAGGTGATCCATCTGGACAGTTCAGGGACAGCAACAATGAGCTATGGAGAGTGTGATGGGGAATCCTCCTTGGCCACCCAGCAAGATGGTTCCAACACTGACATAATCAACAATGGAGAAAGCAGTGCAGGAAAACTCAGAGGTGAGAGAAACTTGGCTTCCAAGAGCCCTTGCAGGAAGAGGCGGAGAGGCTAGAAATTAGAGGCTACATGTTTAAAATCTAACCCACTCTCCTCACTGGTTTGCAGTTTACCCACTTGGCACCAATCTCTGATCTTGTGGGCTGAATCTCTGCTGACCCCCAAGAAATTGGACGATTTCCATAAGGCTCCCCTCACTAAGTTTTCCTTCCCATAGGTCCCTTCTTACAGCTTTCTCAGTTGGAAGAGGAAATCTGGCCCAGGGACCTCAGAGTAAACTACGACTAAAGATACCAACACTGAGATTTTTATGGTCCTATAATTCAGGAGATAATCACTGGATACAAGTGATTTCCCAGACTTGGCAAATCAAAGAACCCTTGTCAGATATTTCCGCTTTAAGTTTCTTTCCAGGGGGTGTGGGGGAGAGAAAACAGAAAATCCCAGAAGACTCACAGTAAGTGGACTGAGTGATCGGGAACTGCATTTCACTATTCAGTAAGTAGGAGATTACAGTTTGATCATGGGCCTGATGCAGCTCTCACTTTTCAAATACCTCCCCTGAAAGCGATCAGTCCATATGGGTGACCTCCTTGCACCTATATGGAGCCTCACTTACTTCACTGAAATTTCACAATAGCACAAAGGTTCACTTGCACAGAGCAGACTGCAGGCGTGGGGTTTTTTTAATTTTGAGGGCCAAAATTCAGCTCTGGAAAGATACGAAATATTAATAGGAACATTTGCAATAATTACACCTAAAAATCCAATGGGAACAAAACTGTTTGGTTGTTTGTTTAGTGTTCTAAAAATTGAGTCCAAAGATTCCAAAAGAATCTTTTCTTGACATTGCTCAGAGTTTCATGTGAAACATGACTGCAGAACTGAGCACAAATATTATAGAAAGTGAAACAGCCCAGTCTATCATCACCTAAACTGAACACAGCACAAAAATGCATAAACATAGGAAAACAAATGTGTTTTCCAATTCTTTCATATTTCATAGTCCTGGGTCCCATTTGATATGGTACTTAAGTACATATCTGACTTTAAATAGTCAGTTATGTTAGGCATATTTATAGATTCAGAGGCTAAAGGCACCACTGTAATCATCTAGTCTGACCTGCATAACACAGGTCACAGAAATTCCCTGAACAGATTCCAGTTTGGAGACAGAACATCTTTCAGAAAAAAAATCTGTCTTGATACGAAAATTGCCAGTGATGGAGAATCCACTACAAGTTGGACCTCCCTGGTCCAGCACTCTTGGGACCTAACCGGTCCCAAATGAGGGATTTGCCAAACCAGGAGAAGTCCCTTCCCTCATGCCCCATGCTGAACACTGCCCCCCGGGGAGGGTTCCAGCCCAGCCTCTCTGCTGCCTGGCCGGCTGTGGCTCCCCAAGCCAGAGCTCTCTAGATGCCACTGGCCCTGCCATGGCCGGGCCCTCCTCCCCTGCCCCCCCCCTCCCCCCCAGCCGCTGGCTCCCCACTGCACCGCCCACCGCCACCACCCGCACATGGGGCTCCCGGCCAAGTTGTCGGCCCCTTCGTTGGGTTCCGGTCCTGCAGCCAGACCTGCCTATACCTGGGCTCTGTGGTTCAGGAACATCTGTGATCCTGCCAGGCCATAGATATTGCCAGACCAGAGAGTCCCAGTGAAGGGAGGTACAACCTGTACAATTCTTCATAAATTGTTCCAATGGTTAACCCACTTATTGGTTAAACAGTTGGTCATTTACACTCAAGCAGCCCTAATTCTAACATAGCAAGATCCAAATAAACTCTCACTAACTTCATTGGCTGGGGAACTGCTTGTGTCTTGTAACAAGAGAGCAAGAACCCTGCCATGTCAAGAGATATATATCCCACAATACTCTCTGCAAAGCCACATGACTGCCCAGCACTACGTACAAGCTTAGGAGGTGTCTTCATACCTATTAGGACCTAGAATGCTATGTCCAAAACAAAACATAAGAGCCATACATCATATTATCAGAGAAACAAGTTGAATGCAGATAAATATAGCTTCTGTGCAGATAACTATAGCTGTCAGGGTCCACCAGGAGCTAACCCATGCCAGGTATGAGGGGAATGTGTTGCAAGATAAGAATTGCTTCTCAAAAGGAAGGGCATGCCTGTCTCCTTTTTGTATGGGTACTGTTTTTATCTTTAGGCAGGGAATTGGTATTCTTGGCCATTTGGTCTCAAACATTTTTTACAAACCATTAGTGTAATCAAGCACTTGACTACACTTTTATAAATAGTATGTGGGTTTTTTTGAGGGGGGTTTTTGTTTGGTGTTTTTTGTAGGTGGTGGTGTATTTTTTTTGCGTATGTAACAATTCAAACCAAGGAAATGCAAAATCCAAGTTCTGAAAGGATGAATGGACAGTTTTTAAACTAGGCTGCCTAATACTAGATACTTACAGAATGGGGAGGGAAATGGATTGACTTTCCTCATTTTCCTCAAAGAGAAGTGAGATGGCTCCTAACATCTTTGAATATCAGAAAAGTTTCATTTCAGGTATGAGTGGTGTTCTGGGTATTGTACGTGTGCATGTGCGAGATGCAGATAATTCATTTTTTGAACTGATCTGTCCATCACTTCTGCTGTGATTACTGCTTATATGAGTTTGGAAGTTGTTATTTAGGGTCAGCTTCTGACTCTCTTGCTCACACTGAGGTCTGGTCTACACTACAAAGTTAGGTTGATGCAATCCACCTTACATCGACCTATTTGTTCATGTGTCTACACTCAAATTTGTCTCCAACTGTTGTAAGTAACCAGTAAAACAACCTCCTCAAACAGGGCGGAAATATGTTTGTTCTACTGGGATCAATACAAACAATATGTGACCTGTGCTGATCATGGAGGTACATCATCAGCTGGCCCACAATGTTCTGTTCCCTGTGACAGCAACTGTTCTGGTGACAATTTTAAACTCTGCACTTGTACCTGGAGTAGTCAGGAGGTGTTGGATCTCCTGGGCCTTTGGAGAGAAAAGGCTGTGCAGACACAGCTAGGGATTAGCGGTAGAAATGTGGATGGACATCTATGACAAGATTGCACAGGGGGTGCAAGGGAAGGGGTGTAACGGGGATCAGGAATGGCACCGCAGGAAAACAAAGGAACTTTGGCGGACACACCACAAGGCCAGGGAGGCCAGCAACGACTCTGGTGACGAGTCAGAGACCTGCCGCTTTTACAAGCTTCACACCACACTTGGTGGAGACCCTACCAGCCTTTGTAGGCCACTGTGGATACCCTGGAATAGCCTGAGACAGAGACGTCAGGTAAGCATGTATATGCATTTTCCTTACTGTGTTGAAATGTAAAGATGGCATTCGGCACATCCCCAAATTAGCAGAACATGGGTACTGACTTTTCATTGTTTGCATGCTTTTCATCCCCCTATAGGGCAGATGAAGGGGGCAGCCTATGGGGAGCAGTTTATGTACATAAGGATGTCCCTTCTACCCTCTTATGAGATCCGTGTAACACTTTGACAGAGAAAGTCTGAAAACCTCTCCCAAAGGGCTCTAGGGGTGGCAGCCTTTTTTCTTCCTCTGCAGTAGGACACTTTCCCACACCAGTCTGCAATGACTTTGGCAGGCACCATTGCACACAACAGGACAGTGGCATATGGGCCTGGACGGCCTTAGGATGCCAGCAGTCCTGTGCTTTCTGTGCCTTTGTTAACCATCAGACATGAGCTCTGAGCTAAAATCATTACTGGCTGTGGGAAGCAGTGCCAGCGTTCTGTGTCATTGCCCCATAATGGCACCCATGCAAACAGGGGTCAACAGTTTTTTGGTTCATGCAACCAAAAATATGAATTCCCTCCTCCTTCCCCTTAGTCTGCTCTGCAGAGGCAATCCAAACCTGAAGTGCCAATAACCATGTCTCCTTAGAAAATGTCATGGGAAAAATGGATTCATACAGCTGTGCCATTGGAAGGTCTCCTGTGTAGCCACTCTATGCTGGCAGCCAAGAGCTCTTCCAATGACATAATTAAACTGCCCCCAATGAGCAGCAGTAGCTATGTTGGCAGATAATTTCCTGAGCTGCCATATCCCTAGCCATGATTGTGCTTCTCTTAATGTAGCCTGTATCACTTAGGGTGGGGAGAGATTCACAACCCTGAGTGACATTGGTTACACTGACAAAAGTGCTCTTGTAGACATATCCTGAGAGCAAGTTTTGAAACCTTTCTCTCCTTTTCTGCCATGACTGTAAACCCAGTCACACGCCTGTTTTATCTGCCATTAAGCCCTTGAGGATTGCTCCCTCCATGCACACAGAAGACTCCAGTGCAGCAGCTCCCTATAGTCCACGTCATCCTGTGCCACATCCCTACCCCTGTCACATCATGCCAGAGGACTGCAAAAAAACCACCCCTTCACATATGCTGATCCGTGAGAGTCATAGCTGGTGTGTGGGTAGCCAAAAGGGACTACATTTGCCCACTGACATAGGCAGAAAACATTCCTATTTGTCTAATATTAAAGGTCCGCTCCATTAATTTATGTTAGAAGCTTATACTACATGGACTTTTATTTGCACCTTGGGTTTCCTCACTGTTTATGGTATGCAGTTTGTTTTTAAATAAACTCACTTCTTAGTTCACAACACACGTTGCACAATGCACTGTGATATTCACAGTACCCACTTCTTATAATTGTATAGGACCACAAAATTCACAGGTGCAGAGAAATACACATTGTAATAATTATATATGCATATATAAACAAATACACATAAATAAATGCAAGCAATACAGATGTCATAGCTTCAGCAAAAGACACCAGGGTAATATTTATAAATGTACAAATAGCACTATGCTACAATATTCTTAACAGCCCTCCAAGATTAGAGCATATTCCTGGGACTGACTTGTGAAGTGCTCTTTTTCTGAGATGCAGTTTTGTGAATACACACTGCCAATGTCCTATCAGAGTACCAAAAGCACATTCTAATGTCGCTGTATACCTGCTAAGCTGGTAGTTGAGTCTTTCCTGGGTGCTGCTGAGATGACTTGTATATGGCCTCATTTGGGTGCCGTTGCACCGAAGGGCTGGGGTGAGCTCAGCACAACAGATCCAGGAATGTGGCCTGTTTAATCAAAAGTTCTGCAGCTACTACTGATTGTCTCAAACCTGCAATACGATGCAATCCTACCAGTCAGTGCTTGTTTCTCCGGCCCAGAATTGACACTCGACTGTCAGCAACAAACCACCTTGAATTGTTTTCTCTAAGTCCTTCAGCAATCTTGAAGAAGCTGTCACATCCCGCTTTTCCAGTCTTTTCCTGAGAGTCTGCAAATAAGAGGAGAGGAGTTTGCACCTGATATTTGCAATATTTGTCACAATAGTACAGATCTCTGTGGTCACCACACGTCAGAGAGGGCCGACAAAGAGAAGTACCACCTGGGTTTGTGAGATTTTTAAAGGGCTCAAAAATTATGAGATATGGCTGTAGGGAGTTGCAAGATGGGAACATCCATTCAATGTGCAGTGGCAGTCAAAAAAGCAAACAGAATGTTAGGAATCATAAAAAGGGATAGTGAATAAGACAGAGAATAACTTATTGCCTCTATAAATCCAAGATGTGGGCATATCATGAATACTGTGTACAGATGTAGTCACCTCATCTCAAAAAAGATCAATTGGCATTGGAAAAGGTTCAGAAAAGGGCAACAAAAACTATCAGGGGTTTGGGTCCCATAGGAAGAGAGATTAAAAAGACTGGGACTTTTCAGTTTAGAAAAGAGGAGACTAAGGGTATGTCTACGCTTGCAGCTTATTTCGGAATAGGGCTGCAAACGTAGGCATTCGGAATTGCAAATCAAGCCCAGGATTTAAATATCACGCGCTTGATTTACATCTTCCTGGCCGGATACCATTTTTTGAAATTTACAAGCCCGGAATAACTGCACACGTCTACACACGGCAGTGAAACGGACATTCGAAATAAAGCCCTATTTCGAACTACCTGTTATTCCTCCTGCAATGAGGTTTAACAGGTAGTTCAAAATAGGGCTTTATTTAGAACGCCCGTTTCACTGCCGTGTAGATGCGGGCAGATATTCCGGGCTTGTAAATTTCAAAAATGGAGCCCGGACGGGAAGATGCAAATCAAACGCAGGATATTTAAATCCCAGGCTTGATTTGCAATTCTGAATGCCTACATTTGCAGCCCTATTCCGAAATAGGCTGCAAGTGTAGACATACCCTTAGAGGGGATATGATAGAGCTCTATGACAGGTATGGAGAAAGTGAATAAGGAAAAGTTATTTACTTGTTCTCATAATGTAAGAACTAGGGATCACCAAATGAAATTAACAGGTAGCAGGTTTAAAACAAACAGGTATTTCTTCATACAGTGAACAATCAATCTGTGGAACTCCTTGCCATAAGATGTTCTGAATACCAGGACTTTAACTGGGTTCAAAAAAGAACTAGATACATCCATGGAGATTAGGTCCATCAATTAGCCAGGATGGGTAGGAATGGTGTCCCTACCCTCTGTTTGTCAGAGGCTGGAAATAGGTGACAGGGAATGGATCACTTGCGGATTGCCTGTTCTGTTCACTCCCTCTGGGGCATCTGGCATTGGCTTCTGTCAAAAGACAGAATACTGGGCTAGTTGAACTTTTGGTCTGACCCAGTATGGCTGTTATTAGTTCTTATATTTTTAACTTAAAACCTCTTTCTAATAGTCAACTCCGAGCAACTCATTTGCACCTAATAATGTATTACAAAAGCTTCTCAAAGGGCACTGCACGCTAAAAAACCTATCCACAGCACACTACACTTTGCATTGACATAAGCACTGCTGGTATGGGCAGCACTGACACAAGCAGCCAAGGATGCCTGTGCACAAGTGATATACTAACTGCAGAAACCATAAACAGTCATAATTTACATCAATCAAAACATATCACATGATGGGGTCTCAAGAAAAAGATATTGGAGCCATTGTGGATAGTTCCCTGAAAACAACCACTCAGGGTGCAGCAGCAGTCAAAAATCAAACAATGTTGAGAATATAAATCCATGGTCCACCCACATCTTGAATACCATGTGCAGATGTGGTTGCCTCATCTCAAAAAAATTAGAATTGTAAAATGTTCAGAAAATGGCAGCAGCAATGATTAAAGTGTATGGAACACCAACCATATGAGGAAAGATTAATAACACTGAGACTTCTGAGCGTGAAACAGATATGACAGAGGTCTATAAAATCATGACTGATGTGGTGAAAGTATTATTTACTCCTTCTCATCAGTGGTCCCTGTAAGCTGACCACTTGGGCAGCCACCCAGCAGAGATTCAAATGCCAGATTCATGTGTTTCTAGTGGTGATGCACATTTGCACATGCCTTGATGAACATCCACACATGGATGGAAAAAATTAGAGGGAACATTGATTCTTATTACACAAAAATTGGAGGTCACCAAATGAAATATGTAGCAGTTCTTAAACAAACAAAAGGAAGTATTTCTTCATATAGTGCATAGTCAACCTGTGGAACCCCTTGCCAGAGGATGCTGTAAAGGCCAACACTATAACAGGGTTCAAAAAGGAACTAGATAAATTCATGAAAGATAGGTGCATCAATTGCTGTTAGCCAGGATGGGTAGTGATGGAGTCCTTAGCCTCTGTTTGCCAGAAGCTGGGAATGAGTAACAGGCAATGGATTCCCTGTTCTGTTCAATCCCTCTGGGGCATCTGGCATTGGCCACTTCTAGAAGACAGAATACTAGACTAGATGGACCTTTAGTCTGACATAGTATGGTCATTCTGTCCTTAGCTGTGCTTGTGCAGCTCCCATTGACCTTCAGAAGAGCCCTGTGTAGAACTCTTCAGAAAGCCAGGAATTTTTGGTTTCAGAAAGAGGTTTTATTTGTTACCATTAGCATTTAAATGGATGCAATGTCTTATTCAGAAAGGGTTTCTCTGCCCCTTCCTCCCTCTCTCATTAGATATCTACATGGTCCACAAGATAGTAATATACCACACCCAGCAAAGTCGTCTCCAATCTTTGGCAATGTCTTCTGCCCACACTGGCAACAGAGGCAATTGCAGCTAGTACATGTCAAATTAATTAATAACATTTATTTATAAAGGGATTTTATGGTCTAAATGTTATATACACAATAATTAATCCGATTAATGATCTTACTAAGTAGCTAATTACCATATTACTTGCATTCTGTTTTAGAATATTAAAATAATTCATTTAAACAACTACATGGTAAAGATAGACCAAGCCTTAAAAGTCAGATTTGCTCGTGCTGCAGATTTTCAAGCCCTCCCATCAGCGTTTGGGGGCACTTGGCTATGGAGCTTAGGTCCATCCCCAGCGTTGTTTACTTGAGTCCCACGACTTGAACTCAAGTCCGACTTAAGTTGCCTAGGTGACTCGACTTGGGACTAGACTCGTGTTCATTGTTTGTGACTTGAGACTTGCTAATTTTGTTAAATCGACTTGGTAAAAAGATTGTCTGAAAATGCCGATATTGATGGCTTGTACAAAAGTGACTTGACATTTTTAAAATTAAGACTTGAGACTCGACTTGGACTTGACAATGACAACTTGAAGACAACACTGTCCATCCCTGATATTACATAGTAGCTTGTCTTTACTTAATATGGAATGCCTTTAAGCCAAGATACACAAGGTACTTCAGATGACAAAATGTAAACTACAACACTACAGAAACAAGGATGTTACAAAATATTATTTAGAACGTAGGGCTGTTACACATTTCATAAGGAAACACCTTTCAAGGGAGAACATTTTCCTCAAAATGAAGGGAAGTAGATGGAGGTAGGATACTATGGGGCTGTGTCTAGACTGGCTAGTTTTTCCGGAAAACCAGCCACTTTTCCGGAAAACCTTGCCAGTTGTCTACACTGGCCGCTTGAATTTCCGCAAAAGCACTGACGATCTCATGTAAGATTGTCAGTGTTCTTACGGAAATACTATGCTGCTCCCATTCGGGCAAAAGTCTTTTTCCAAAAAACTTTTGTGCAAAAGGGCCAGTATAGACAGCAGAGATTTATTTTCTGCAAAAAAGCCCCGATCGCGAAAATGGCGATCGGGGCTTTTTTGTGGAAAAGCACGTCTAGATTGGCCACGGATGCTTTTCCGCAAAAAGTGCTTTTGCGGAAAAGCGTCCTGCCAATCTAGACGTGCTTTTCCGAAAATGCTTTTAATGGAAAACTTTTCCGTTAAAAGCATTTCCAGAAAATCATGCCAGTGTAGACATAACCTGGGAGTATGGAACTTCATCATCCTAGAGGCACTAGTGTAACAGTGTTCTGCAGAATGTGGACTTGATCCAAAGCCCATTGAGTCAGTGACTTCCCACTAAAGTCCTATGGACTTCATTAAGTGCTGGATCAGGCCCCAGCTATAAGCTGATTGAAATGAGGGCCATTAGGCCCAGTAGCTAACGCAGGCATCAGGAATTAAAGACTAGGGTCTGAACTTGATTCAACCATCAAGAGCTGGAGACAAATGTCAAGGAAGAGGTCAGAAGTAAAATACCAAAGCTGAAAGTCGAGCTGGTGAAGCCAAAGCTTCAGCTTAAGATGAACGTCATGGGCTGAAGTGATCAGGGTAACAAGGCAAGAGTGGTTCAGGGTACAGGCAGGACAGAGGCAAGGCAGGAAAAAGAGGGACAAGGGAATTCAGATAAGCATGAGCACAGAGCAGCCAATCAGACAGCTTGCTACAGAGCAGCTGCAGTGACAAGACTGCCTGGAGATTAGTTCTGTTTCAGTCCCTAATTCCTGACAGTACTCCTGTCTTCAAGGGCTCTGTCTCAGGACTTCAGGGGCTGGTTTCTCAGGATTAGTGCTGGTGAAAAACACACAGACGTAGCATGAAAGATTCAAAGAGAAGGATATTGGCATTTGAGAGGAGTTGTTATAGAAAGATCCTGAGAACAGGATGGATGCAGAAGCTATGGTGCCAGAAATAAAATCTGAGGGCTTATCAATAATGGACATAATCTCCTGTTAAGGTTTGTAGTGCTCATCCATCACAACAATGCATCTACTTCTCTGCACCTTAAATCTAGCTAGCAGATGACTACAAACTCAAATCTCATGAAGAAAAGGGACCAGCATTTGTTGAGATGCCTGGTCATTTTTACTGTCAGAACTTGGGAACTGGTAACCTACCACCCTCCAGAAGATGGCACCATTCTTCAAAGACTGCTTTGATAGTCACACTTCCAGTTACAGACTAATATGGCTACCCCTCTGAAACAAGTTCCTTATCCAAAATGTCATAGTGCATCTC